TATAGGAAATGTAAAAATAACTTAAAACACATAAAAAGCATGAATGCAAATGCCACAGGGAAGATTTTGTGGGGAACAGTAATTGATCTCCATATTAACATATTCACTATTATGACATATTTGCCAAGAATAGACACACACACACACACACACACACACACACACACACACACACACACACACAAGGCTGTAAGCCACAGCATGAAAGCTCGTACTCTGTCTCTTTCTCTAACAGTCTGTAATTACAGCTATAAATTGCTGACTGTAGGACTAAATACTAGAAAAACAGACACACACACACTGAAAATAAAACCAACCAAACACAAAACACACTAAAGAGCACACTGTGTGTGCACACACGCACTTACTTGCACGTGTGTGTGGTTAGCCAATAACAGGGTGTGTGAGTCATTTTTAGAAGAAGAAAAATAAAATGGAAAGATCAGATACGGAGAGCGAAGACTTTAACATTTCTGTCGCTTTAACTACTGTAGCTTCTGATCCCTCTGTCCTTCCTTCCTTCTTTCCTTCTTTCATCCCCATATCTGATTATCCCGTCCCTTCCCTCTCTATGCCATTTAGTTTGGCCACTCTGAACAGCTATGAACACTTTGGTTTTCAGACATGGTTGGACAACACGTTGAACAAACTTGTTAGTTTCAAGCGTAGCTGCCTTTATCTCTGGATGTTTTCAGCTCTGAAGACAGTCGAGTGTGAAAAAGCACCGCAAAGGAGCACAACCGCGTGATAGATGTGGGTTCGAACCCCGGCAGGGGCAATGGTATGTAACGAAGAAATGTGTTGTTTGTGACACACTTAAGTGGTTTTGAATAACAAAAACGGCAGATGTGGTCGCGACTCTAAAACCAGCTAAAAAAAAGAATCCAAAAAATGCTCTAAAATAAACTGATTCAGGATTCTGTGAATTTGCTTGTCAATTTGTTCGCCAATGGTGAGCTAAAGCGCTGACCTTAGAGAGCACGGAGAAAAGGTGAGTGAAGCTAGCTTCAGCTAGCTAGCTTGACTCACCCGCTAAAGCCGACTGGCTGCCGAAAGATACCGCTTACCTAATATCACAGGTTTTGGCGGGTGGGTCAAAAAGTGACAAAGCAGCATTCAGAGTAGGTTATTAATAACACAATTACAAACAAACACATATTTTTGTGGGTTGGGCGGTGCTTATTGGCTCTCATAACGGATCAGGTAGATTCGGGTATTAAAAACGGGAAAAAACGGGACTATAGTGAGGCGAAAGGCCAAGCGGACAAGTCTCGATCCAAAACGAGTGAATCTTGGGTTAGTTGACCCCGACTGACAAATTCTACTCATCCTGCCATTTAAGTAATAGCTAAGTCCCCAAGCTTCCAGCACCATATATTTCACGAGGATGCACATAAAATTGGTGTTGCCCCACTTTCTGGTGGCTTTGAAGCTAAAAGCTCAAATATACATTGACAGCAACAAAGACGCTCAGATTGTCTTCAAACTTTGACAAACTTTCATTCTGTTCCTTGTTTTGCTACACTCAGAAACCTACAGTATGCCACTGTGTTTTGATTGAATCACGTTTCTCTTAACTCTAGTTTAATGTTTCTGTATTTGATGTTAAAATGACACATTGTCATTTCTTTATATGAATAATCGATTGAAGTGAAGGCAAGAAATATCAAACCTTATATCTGCTTTTCCGTGGGACACGGTACCTCCTCAGAGCTATTGAAGATGTATACAGCATCTAAGACAAGGACAATTGTCACCAATAACTAGGCAAGAAAGGCAATTTTTTTCCCTTCAAGCAACCTGACACTTGGAAATTCCTTAGTGGCAATGAAGGCCACCCAAGTCGGACTATGAACAGGTAGGATCTCTATAAAAGCTGGTTGACTTTGGTGGTAGTCTGCTCTCCTTAACACTGTTTTGACTTTGATGTGAAATTAGAAGGAGACAAATTATAGTTTTGTGTAATGTAATTAATGAAAATCTATACAATACCAGTATAAGTACTGGTTACGTGCCGTAAATTTACATGCACTGTGTCTTTGCAGCTGTTTTTAAACTACAGCTACAGAATTGTCAGACCTCTGGTAATAAATCAGCCCACTAGCATTTAAAACAGCTACCATTTGCAGAGAAATAAATCAATGCCAATGTAACTGTCACAATTAGTGGACTTGCTAACTAAGTGGATATTTTTACATCAAGTTAAACAAGTGAACTTTGACGTGCAAGCCAATGACCAACAGCAAGATGTCTTCACAGCACTTATCGCTGACAGCTAACTATTTTGCTAACAGTCGGAACGTTTGCTAGCTCAGAGAGCTTCCTGAGAGCAAAATGTCAGGGGGCAGTAAACAGCCCAGTAGAGAAAACAAAGAAAATCCCAGAACATGTGACCGTCAGCTGGCTAGCATGTTAGCTGTTTGCTCGCCAGCTACCGTAGTTCACCAACTAGTCCTGCAAGTATTTCATACCTCACCAAGCGTGGATAAATTTGGCTGTGGCACTTTTCTGGCATGACCAGGCTGATACAACATCGTTCAACAACCACATTGACTGCCTGGACTTTTCAAGTAACCATTTTGTAAATTAAGCTAACGCATTTTGACAGTAAGTGACTTGTGTTATAGTGGAATGTGGATACATCAGAAAGCTATGCAGTATAATGTTTGCAAGTGCGTAAGCTAACTACTGTAACTTGCTTATACATAGCTTTCGTTAGCATGCTTATGACTAACTTCATCATCCATGCTAAAATAATCCTTTGATATGCTGACATGACATGCTGTAGCTAGTAAACAGGCTTTTTGTTAGGATTTTGGTCCTTGGTTGCATATTGTGGCGCCAGTAGTTGTTTCTCACGGGGAAATGTTTCAGCTATTCAGGGAGACTGATGGAAGAACCCCTCTATAGCCGTATTTCCATTTAATTGTCAAACAAATTTTAAACCAACTTTTGAAATGATGCAAAAAAGGAATGAGTTAGGCGCGTTTCCAAGCTGGTTTGGAGCAAATAAACTTGGCTACAGCATGGTTTGGTCAGAGGATGGGGCTTTAGGCTACGCTTGGATATAATCTGCCAGTGAACAGAGTAGAAGAAGTTGTCAAGCGGAAACCAAAAGAGTCGCCTTGGCCATCTAACCATCTACGAGAGAAAAATGGAGAGAGATCTTCAGGAATTTCTTTCCATTAGGAAAGTTTTATTGTTTATTCATGTCAGCTAGTATTGACCATGTTTCATGATGTCCGGAGACGAAGATAAGCATTTGTGCGTTATGGGAATATCTGACAAGACGCCGACAGCAGAAACAGCTGCTCTGTCATGTGAGTTAGATGTGTGCTACATTAGAATGTATTCTGGAAGTTTTATCAAATTTTTCCATTTCCATACGGCTTTTCTAATGCAATACTTCAAAATGTTCATAAAAATGTGTAAATGGAAACACGCCTTGTGAAAAATTACATTGGGCAACGAACAATAATGAAACATAGGCTAACAGAGGACATCCACTTTCTCTGGATTCTCACTGTCCACACTCACAACATACATTTCCCTGAAATATACAACCCAAAATATAATTTATATCATTCGTAAATATGAAAAATACTGACACTAATATAGTAAGTTTTGACCCTGGTGGAAAGCCATCTGCTTGAAACAAGAACATCGAGAGAGAGAGTCCTTCACCTTCTTCCTCACTTCTTCTTCCTCTCTGTGCACCACCGGGACGATCGTACCGTTCCCGACATCGGTCAGGGACGTCCTCGTGGGACAGACAACAGCAGGCGTAAAACAGCAAGCGCCGCAGGAGGGAAGAGGCACGGCCGACGACCCTCGCCGCCACGACGTCCCCGCCGCAGCCGCCCGCCGGTCTCCCCGGTCGACGGACGGAAGACCGCTCATGCCGACACCACTTGGTCCTGGAGCGGGCACACGCTTTCAGAATAGCCGCCGTGCAGTCCATTGCTGGCTGGCGGTGGGGTTCTGATTGGTTCAGAGTGGTTCCATGTAGAGGATGGAGTCAACAAATCAAAAGGGCTGTTTTTACCCCCAAAAAAACAAGTCAATATCTTCTTTTTGGTCCTGAGCTCCTCCTTCTCCAGAGAACACAAAGGAGAGGAAGATGAAGGATGAATGACGAGATAAGAGGAGGAAGAGACTCTTCAGGAGAAAAAAACAACAACAACAAGTTCTCTAAATACTAACGGAATGACTGCCGTTAGTAAGCAGGATAGTCAAACATGCGAATGCTGTGGTAGAAAGCCAAACTCCTCATATGTTCAGTGTAGGTATGTTGTTACTTTCGGAGGTGAACCCAGAATCCACACGCTTTTAAGCTCAAACACAGCAGATCCTGATGATGTAATCATCTGGTTATTTGTTCTTTGTAGCCGAAAAAAACAATCCATGCAATTCATTCACAGGTAGAGCCTCCTCAAAACCGTGCAAAAAAGAGCAAACAGCTTCTCAAGCATGACGCGGAAAGTATAGATCTCCTCCCGAGTTGATATCCTCTTTGATCAGGAGCACAATAAGTAAAGTTTCCAAGTGTTGAGAAGAGTTTTCCTTTCAGCCTCCATATCTGGTCTGAAAGACGACCTCCCTCGTTCGACTGCACGGCAAATCAAAACCTCCCCTCCTCCAACCCAAAAGAAACCACACACACACACACACACACACACACACACACAGGAGAGAAAGGGAAAGACTGCAGGAGGAGCTGAACAGGGAGAGTAATCTGTTACATGTCGAGGAGCGCGAGGAGAGTTTGGGGAAGACAGCTCAGACTTCTTTCTTCTAATGGAGGAAAAACACAGCCGGAGAGAAAACCCTGAAGGAAGACTCGGCAGACCAAAGAAATGCTGCAATTAAACTCCTCCAAGAATCCAAGAACAGAGGAGCGTCTGACCACAAATCACAGTGACGATGGAAGGGTGTAATCCACTTTAGCCCAGAAAATGTGAAAAATGCTGAAAGAAAAGTTCGAACAAAGAGTCTGATTGAATTAAACACCATGTTGCTGGATAAAAATCTGCTCCAAAAAAAACTGTTATAAAATCAGAGCTGTTTTCAACCAACAGAAAACTTTTTTTCAATAACAAGAGGAAAGATAGAAAGATTTACAGTCATCCTGCTGTCCTTGAAAAACAGATAAGTGAGGGGGGGCAGACGCAAATCTGGCCAACAAAAGCAGAGAGCAGTAACAGGAGAGGTGCAGTTGTGCAAAAAAAAAAAGAAAAGGTTTCAAGTTTTCAGGCTGGCTGACAAATTGCGCCATCCACCATCGACTGTATATGAGATGTGGACGTAGTCACCGTGACGTCACCCATTGGTTTGCAGACTGCTATTTTGAAGCCTCGGGTTCGACACATTTTGGCCTTCACCATCTTGGTTTATGGCCTTTGCCATCTTGGTTTTTTGCAACCAGAAGTGAAGCGAGAGGGTGGAGCCAGGTACAACCGAACGCTGAATAAGACATTTTCAGGTGACCAATTTGTTACAATTGGCTTTCATGAACTAAAAACACGACTGAAAGGGGTTAAACTTCTAAGACGGAAACACGGACATCTCCCAGACTGGACAACGCTGTGATAGCGACCTGCCAATCAAAAGGTGGCCCGCCCTAAAGCATACTCTGCTTTATGGTCTATTTGACTCTAAATGGACCATAATTTAGAATTTTTGGGGGGAGACCGTGGCTCACTGGGTTAAGAGGGTTGTCTGGGAACCGGAAGGTCAACGATTCGATCCTCAACTGGGACGTGTCACGTGTCAAAGTGTACCTGAGCAATACACTGAACCCTCGGCTCCCCAGGCGCCTGTCATTGGCAGCCCACTGCTCCCTATATACAGGGATGGGTCAAATGCAGAGACAAATTTCCCACTTAAAGGGATCAATATAGTATAATAAATTAAAAATTAAAATTACTAAATGAACATCATGCTGTATTGAAGAAAACTAGAGATTGAGACCATAAACTCATGTTTACAATGTTTACTGAGGTAATAAATCAAGAGAGAAGTAGAGTCATTTTCTCATAGACCTCTATACAATCAGACTACCAGAGGAGTTGCCCCCTGATGGTCAGTAGAGCGAATGTTTTAAGAGACTTCCTCATATTGGACTTCACCAGGTGGCCAGAAACATGACTCTAAATGAACGCTAGTGCTGCTCCATAATAAGAATTCTTCATATAGAAAATCAGATGTCAAAAAGTCAGATTCAGGTCTTAACTCAATCAGATGTGCAGTTACAGCAATGACAGGAGTCAGGAGAAGGAAGACAAAATGGAGGGGGAGTTCAAAAACACAGAGGTAAAGGGGTGAAGAGAAATAAACTGAAATCAGAGCGTGTGTGTATGTGGGCATGGTGTGCTGACTTTAGGGAAGTTGCCTCGGCTCATAGCGTTCCTGTTTTGAAAGAGTGCGAGACACAGAAAGAGGGTCGGAGAGAGACTCCACATGGTTATGTTTAGGAGAAGTGTCAGATCAACCGTGAGGAGGAGGAGGAGGAGGAGGAGAGGAAAGGTTGGTAGAGGCTTGGGTTACACTTGTGTTTTCTCTCTCACTAAGGCACCGAGGGACGATCAAATGCAAGGTCAAAGGTCCGTCCCCCCCCCCCCCTCTGCTGCCATACACAGTGTAACAGGTCACAGCTGTGTGTGTGTGTGTGTGTGTGTGTGTGTGTGTGACAGAAAGGCAAAAAGAAACTATTCTAGCCCTGGTTGTGGTTTCTCCTTGATTCTCTCTTGCTCTCTTTCCTTCCTTTCCAAGTTGCGAATGACGCGACGCAAAAGTGGGAAAATGTACTTCTATTCCTCGAATATCGTACAAAACTCGATGTGTATAAACCTACGTGCATAAACCACAGACTGTCTAAATTGTAGAAACAATAACGTCGCTGCCGTATTTAAGCCAAAATGTCGTGATTTTGAGTGTCGATGGAGCAGCTACAACGTTAGCATAGCCTAGCACCGATCCATCCGAACTCCATTCAGAAAACAAGCATTTTAACAGTTGTTTGCTTGTAGTCTTGCGGACGAACCTGAAAAAGCATGAAGTCAGACTTTTTACAAACCAGCATAATTTTGTAGTTATTTTGGCATCCCTTTTTATCTGTTAACTGCAATCAAATCGATGCAAAAATCACTTTATTTTAGGTCCATACCACTGACGCCGATGTGTGCCTTGCTAGATACAGTGAATACAGCTCGGTGGGGTTAAGCCTCCCCTCCTTTCTAGGGTTTCTAGTGTGGGTGAAACAAATAAAACAAAAAAATACATAAATGATAAATGAAGTCGGAGTCGAGTAATGCAAGGCAAAAAAATGTGCTTTGCGTTTGGTGTAACCACACCTCGTATCCTGATTGGTGCAGAGAAATGCGTGACATCATCTGTTTTCCAACTGAGCCCACCCACTTCAAACCAGTGAGAAGAACGGAGAAAATACAGGAAATCTCTCGTGTAAAATTACCGAAACCAATCCAAACATTGGCACGAAAATAGTGTTTTTATGTAGGATCACATGATCAGCCCAAAAAGACTTCCCCCCATACACTTGCATTGAGAAAGAGACGTCTGAAAGTCAGCAAATATTCTTTTCTCCAGATAAACCAACTTTTCATTACAGATGCTTAAACAGCCCTTGTCTAAATCATCAGGTTTGAAATGCTGTAAAATTCAACAATAGCCGAATCCAGAGTTATTATCCGTCCTCTATTCGTGTGACTGAGCCCGAGCAGTTGGGAGGTGAGTTTAAAGGTAGTGCTAATGCACTTGCTCTGTGGGTCAATGTGTGCGGAGGATTGCTGGAAGATCCGGGTTATTACACACCCAGGAAATTTTTTTGGCCTCATGCCCCAGTGAGCAACTTTCATAGGAATGAACCAGGTTTACACCTCTCACGCTGTATCCAGTTGTCTTTACACATCCATGTGCGACATTGGCACGCAGCCATGTTTGTTCTGCTAATGTTAGTGTCGTAGCTACACAACAGTTCAGCTGGAGATCCGTTTCTCCCTCTGTTTGATGAGCGTGCTGTGTTGTTTGTCTTGTGTATTCCCATTTTGGACTCATATAAGTGATAGATGGACTCAGATAAGATAGATGCTCCTACCAGCTCTTTTTACCAGACGAAGGTTGAGGAGGGGAGAAGAGGGGAGCGAGCGGCTGAATCCCTCCATCATCCTGACCTCTGACCCCTCTGACTCTATGCCACCGCTGCCTGTTGAAAGAGAGAGGAAATCAAAGGAAATTTGGAGATAGAAAGACGTTGTATGAAATCCTGGAAACCACCAGAAGACCATATCTGCAAACTGCCAACTAGAAATCAGAATAGAGGTGCATTTCTGTAAAACACAGTTCTGACATGACTGTGACGGGGTCCACTATATACATAATGACAAATGAAGTACTGACCAACGTTGTTCTTGCGGGTTTTACCTCCCAGCAACATCTTCAGGCTGTTTCGGAACATGTTTGCTCACAACGACAAGTCACGAACACACAGACGCCTTCTGTCAACACACCCTGGGGAAGGAGAAAGAGAGAAATAAATAAAATTGATCATTTATATTCCAGCTGATTAGTAATGACTGATCATATTTATACAGGTGCCACAATACCCTTAAGAGTTCTCACTTTAACTCTACCGATACCCTCATGCCGAAGCTATTTGCTGCCGCACCAGTTTGTCCTCCTCCTGGTATTGTTGATTTAACCAAGATGTGAAGTCTTTGTGGAGAATTTGTTCTCCCAGCGACACCCTTGTTGCTGCTCATCATTTTTAAGAGCTCCTATGGTGCAGCGGAACCAGAGATATCTTTTTTTTTTCTTCTTGGAGTCAAAAACCTAGCACCTTCACTCGACTAATAGTTCGGTCAGAGACTCTGGTGCGTTATGCTGGTGGCATCTGATGTAGCCTTGAGCCTCAAGCAGCTATGAGTAGGAGGTAACAGGGGTTCTGGTAAATTGATCGCTTCTTTCTTACTACACACGTCCAGATTTTTTTGGTTTCACAAATTTGACGAACCTCGTGACCTTTGGACGGAGCCTGCCTCGATGTTTTTTTTACTGCCAATCGTCATCGTCCAATATCCGGTAAAAAATCTGCAATAATGAAGTCGCCATGCTTTCGCAGATCCATGATAATGCTACATTGTGAACAACAAATCTGTGTTGAAATTGACAGGAGCAGAGCTAGTAACGGTAAGTGGTAAATGTACCACTCAAAGTGCTTTTACACTACGTGTCAAAACCCATTCACCCCCATTCATACACTGATGGCAGGAACTACAGAATTTGAGGTTCAGTGTCTTCAGTGTCTTGCCCAAGGACACATCAGCATGGACTGGAGGAGCCGGGAATCAAACCGCACATTTTCAAATTGAAGGACCACTGAGCCCCAGCCGCCCCACGGTGGCAGCACTGCTAACGTACACAGGTTCCATTCAGTTACATTATGATGCGTTCAGGCTCTGTTCAGTAAAAATTACTTATCATGATGTGTTCTTGTAAAAATGTAGTTTTTTGATGAGAAACTTGAATGAATGCAGTTGTTTGAAGGAGATGTTTTCACAGCAATATAAAATAGATATTAGAGATGAATCATGACTATTTTATAGTCCTAACACAAGCTTTAAGCAGCTTATAATACATCATTGAAACTGCTAGTTCCAAGATTTTTTATCAATAGAAATACATTATTTTATTTTCTAATCATTTTAATTGTGGGCTAGAATCTACACTGGTTCTTACAGAGGCACAGTCTGCTATTATGTGTGTGTGTGTGTGCATAACCATGCTTGTTGTAATTACGTACTTTATGAGTATTCTGCTTATAAATAGCTGATTCTGCAGAATGCTTAATTTTCCCGACTGGCAGTGGAATTATTATTCACACACACGACACACACACTCCCCCTCTCTTCTTTTACTACAGTGTGACTTTTGAACACACCCAACACGCTGGCTGGTAATGTTGTTGCTAGGCAACCGTCTGCTGTTGCTAAGCGATGCATTAATGAGTATGCGTATTAGAATATAAACCACTGAGGCTGCTGGTGTTTGCTTCTGTATGTGTGTGTTAACCCCAATTTAAAAGCTTTTAATTCTGTCATACAACCCTTTCAGTTGACAGTATATCTAACACACACACACACACACACACGTACAAAGATGCAGCGAGTGATATTATTTAGTATCCGTCTGTCACTGATACGTCTATGCTGCTCTGTCTGTCTTCTCGTCTGTCACGTTGAGCTGATTTTAAAACGATCGTTTGGAGCCGTGAGCAGATGGCAGATTAAAGTAGCACGAACACTTCCTTCTTTCTAATTCACACAGGGAGAACACACGCACACACAGCCTTACACTTTTTGGTGGAGATAGTTGTAAATTCCCTTTTCAAACAGAGTATAAACGTTAGCTGGCAAATGTTTAACGTTAGCATAACGCTATCTTTCAGGATTAAGATTTAGTTTAAGGTTGTGGGTTAAGGGTTAAGGTCAGGGCGGCTAGTGTTTAACGTTAGCATCACGCTATAGTTTAGGGTTAAACTTGGTTTAAGGCCGGTAAGGGTTACGGTCAGGGTAATTCTCATCAGTTATTAATGTAAGTGAATACAATGTCATCCTCAATGACAGAAACAATTGTGTGTGTGAGAGAGAGAGAAGAGTCAAATATATGAGAGACATTAATAATGTAGGAAATCCCAGTTGCAATAAGCTTCCTTGGTTTTTTGTCTGTTCTTTTGCCCACTTACTTTTTTTTTAACAGAACAAATCAGGAAATCAACAAAAATATTTTTGG